TGGCACTCTGCCTCATTTACTCCTTTCATTAAAAAAAAAAAAAAATACTGCTACTTAAAAAGATAAGAATTCTTAAGCATCTTCTAAAAGTTGTCAATATAACTACCTTTGTCAGCTTTTGAGTTGTTCTGCATCAAAATAGGTATTCAGAAATTTTAATATTTTAAAAAATTATAGTGGCTACATTTATTCCACTCTACTAGCCACCACTCATCCAAGTAATTTCAAGACATATTTACATTCAGTTTTGGCAACAAAAAGTGACAAAAGAGAATGTTTATGTATTGTTAGTATTGTCTGGTAATGTTTCACCTAGGTAAAACTCACCTTGTTTTGTGTGTGACCACTGCTGAAGTATGAACACTATGCATATAATCCACAGCTGATCCACATTCCCTTCATAATGCAACATTCACAAATCTTATTAGAAAAGTTGAACCACCCGGCTACATTTATACAGGAGGAATTCAAGCATTTGTGTGTGGATCAAATGCCTTTTCAATAGGATAAACAGGTGATTGTTTTGGAAGCACAGGATGTTGACTGAGCAGGTGAAATCTAATGGTGGTTTTCAAAGACCAGCAGTTTTGTTTATGTGAGTTGTTAGCTCGTGTCTGTGGTTAAGCCACGCAACAATCCTGATGACACTGACAAGGATTATGACTAGCAGTGTCTTTCTCAAGTAAAATTGTGAGGCCAAAAAAAAAAAAAAAAGTTTGCATTACGTCAACCCTCTAAGTACGTAGAGGGACTAGGCCAAGTCACTGTGCCCGGTGGAACAGCCAAGCTGCCCACTAAACTCTTCCTGAAGAACTTACAAACTAAGCTGCACTGAAGCAGAAGGCTCGAAAAATGGTGGATACAAAACAACTCTTCAGGGCCCAACGACTCTTCAGGGCCCAACGAAATGCAAGGCCGCAGAGATGATGATTTGGGATAGGCACTTCTTCCTGTGTGTCTTCAAATTGCAAGATATTCAAACCAGGTGGTTCTTCCCTCCTGAGAAGGCATATGAACATGGAGGGGGGCTTTTTTTTTCTTTTTTAATTTTTACAGTGACTGGGGATGCTACTGGCATTTAGTTGGCAGGGGCCTGGGATATAGGACATTTTGCAATGTGTGGGACAGTTCTGTATAACAAAGAACGGCCCGGCTCCAAATGTCAACAGCACCCCACACTGAGAAACACTGATCAACAACAGTGCTTAGCTCCTATGCACTGCTGTGCTAGCAGTGCGACAAGCTAAATGACATTTTCTGTGTGCAGTGAATACTAGCATTAGCTAAAAATGACCCTTTCTTATAGGATTGACTTTAGGTAGGAATAGCTGCCACAGGATTCTCTATTTTGCCAGAAATCTTACAATTTGTACAATGGGATTTCTTAATTTGGGATAACCCTGTCTTCAAAAGAAGCATAACTGGGCTCTGTTTCAGCTGCTTTCTAGAAATGCTAACAGTGGTTCGTATTTCCACGCAGAGCTCAGGCTTAAAGACTACAAAAAGTAAAGGGAAAGTGAAAGTGAGCATGGTTTGGGGGTTATTCAACCTTTGTCCCCATCCCCTTTTGGTCACTGCCTGCCTTTATAATGGAGCCTGATGCTCCCCTGTGAAACTTGGATTTAAACTATCTGGGAAGGGTTTTCTCTCATAAAGATGTTCCCATTAATTTGACAATTACTTTTGTCACTGCATTCCCCTCTGCCTTTGCTCTCTAGGACATATTTCAGTTCTAGAAGCTCATTCTGCTTTGTCAAGTAAAATGATATATACCACCAATAAGAGCAAATAATCAATAGTGGAAGATGAGCCATTTCAAGATGTCAAGGGACAACTTTGTAAATAAATTGAATCTAACTGGTTCCTTAGTGCTCACAACATACTCTAATGATGTCATGAAATTAGTTGTTGTCTCTAAGTATACACTTTTATTTAGTAAGGTTAGGCTGGAGAGTGTAACTGGAATTTAGGAATGCTTATGCAATTCTACCATACTGATGAAAATGATACAGATTTACATATCTTGTACTTGTTTGATTCTATCTCACCTACTCTGGGGAAAATTTCTCCTTAATTTTGTGTGAAATTTGCTGCTGGGATGACTTAAGAAATACTAGACTGAAGAAAATTTTGAGCCAGGAAAGAAGAAATGAAAGCTTTCCCTGTTTAAGTGTGGACGTACTACTATGTGTTAGGCAAGACTGTCTTTTTCTGTTGTGAACACACTATATTAAAACTCTAGTAATTTTTGAAAGTTGTGTCTGTCTGATTCTATTAAATATAAATAAAATGCTGTTGTGTGTTAATATGGTACCTACGAGGAAATGCAGTGTTAAGGAAATTCTTTTCTCTTTTAAGTGTAAGCTACTGTATTTTTTTTTGCCAATGCAGCACTGAATTAATTGCAGGGTGTGAAACCTGACTTAGACGTTTTTAGGGAGTTATCTCTCATTTTCAATATTTGGTGAATTTTGTGGGTTGTATTTAATCCCTCTACTTCCTAAAATATGTTTCAATTAAACTCCAGAATTTTCCACTAACAGGATATACTTACTAACATTAGAGAGACGTAAGAGATCTACAATCACTATGCTGATAAAGGATATGAAAATAAAACCAGAAAGTCAGTTTTTCTGGGAAAATCAGAGAACTAGATCAGTTTGCTTTTCCCTCCATTTAGAACAGTTGTTAAAATACCCAAATGGTTCTCTAAATAATATAGATTTCATTTAAACAATTTCAAGAATTAATGTGAAGATAAACTATATCTAACATACCAAAATGTAAGACATTTCACATACACAGGAAATTACCAGGCAGGGTTGCTTTAAATGAACACTGACCACCAGTGATTTAATTTTGTCAGGCTAGGAAGACGCTGATCCAACCCATTTAGCATCTTCTTACTACCTGGATATTAAGGTTCTTTTTCCTCAATTTTATTAAAAAAATAAAGGAAAGGTCGTAAATGGAATAGCCACTTCCTTTCTTAGAGTCTATCTAGTACTTTCCTGCCTGGACCTTCCTGGGGATGAGTTTGTTTTCTTCCCTCCTCATATCCTGGGGACTCAGAAAACCCACTCACTTCCTCTGTGTCAGCCTTATGTGTCACCTTAAATAGGGAAAAACCTAGTTGTGTTACAACAACAACCACAACAAAAGAAATCTAATCCCCACACACTTTTATATCCTTTATAGAACCAGGGCTTATTGGTTGGGCTGCAGAAATGCTGGCAGTGGACAGAGGCACAATGATATGGAGGGAGGTCTAGGCCTTTGCTTCCCTCTAGGGCTGCCAGGCAAGAGCCCTCTGGATGGGCTGCTGGTGGGGACACACAGTGTTTCTGTCTTTTAAAAGTAACTATTAAAAGAGTGCCTTATTCTGCAAAATACACCTTAGCTCATAACCCTTTCATTCTTTCCAGTTTTTTATTTGAAGAATCATTCAATTAAATAATTTGTGGTTCAAATTACTTAAATATCAGACTCTTGTTGCTTGCTGTTGATTCCAACTCATAGTGACCCTCTATGACAAGAGTAGAGCTGCCCCATAGGGTTTCCTAGGCTGTAATACAGGAGCAGATCACTCAGGTCTTTTCTCCTGTGGAGCCAATGGGTGGGTTCGAATTGTTGACCTTTCAGTTGGCAGTTGAGCGCTTAACCATTGTGCCACCAAAGCTCCTTAAATACAAAACTAGTGGTGGCTAATTTTTTAGACTTTTAAACTTCTTCATAGACTTGTCAATCAGCATGAGAAGGAGGAGTGGGTAGTTAAATCTGACATATCATACCAGGGAAACAATATATTGAGATTCCAGAGTCTCATTTCTGTACTGGCTACATCTCATTTTAGGAAATAAAAATCTCCTAAATTGACTACACAATGGGGAAAAACTGCTCCTTTATCAACCAAATAGAGACTTTACATGATGTGTCTTGAATGATAGGATGGTGATAATGTCTTCTATTTATGTAAAGGCCTTGTGATTAGAAATCAAAACAATGTTGAAGACCGTAAGTATAAAAAATTAAAAGGAACATTATATTTTCTTGGTATTTTTCCCAAGACACTAAAATGATATAAAATAATATCATTAGGAAAAGAACAACAGTGGCAAAAATTAGAACAAAGTTCATGTCTATGGCTGGGTTTAAACACTATTAAATGGACAAAACCTCAGCCAGTGACAGATATTTGGGCATTCAGAAAAATTTTTTCAAAGCAAAAATATGTCATATTATTAATAAAATGACAACAGTGCAGAATCTAGGTTTATTTTATTAATGCACATAACTGAGTGCAGCAAAAGATGCAACAATGCTAGTTACTTTTCTTAGATATAAAATGGTCCTGCCCTTTCATCATAGGCCAACTGGTGTTAATTTTTTCTTTTTTTTTAAATAAAAGTCATCAATTTCAAGTTGTTCTTCAAAATACCAATGAATGGCAGCATTTAAATTTATCCACCAGATTGAATGGTTGCTTTTGGGCTGAAATATAAAATGACAACCTTCCATATTATGAGCCGGCAACACTTCAGAAGATTCTAGTCCAAGCTTTGAGAATAAAATAAACTCTATTTAGATCTTTTCTTGTTATTATACATTTTATGTATTTTTAACAAAGGGGGCACAAAACTAGCATGAAAGAAAAATTAAATGCAAGGTAGTATTTACATGTATTAAAATGAATAAAGGATTGGAACTTTATATATGATTGTATATATTAGGAAGGAGAAGTTAGACTGTGCCTGTTACTCCGTGGAAAATAGCAATAGACAACAGAGGTTTCTTAGTGTAAACAATACTGACTGCAGGCTCATAGGGAAACCTTCCATGACTCTAACCTCACTGATTCTTTTGCTTTGCAAGTAAATACTATATTTATGGATGTGATCTGTGAACTCTTAAAATGCAGGATAAGTTTTTCCTTACATACAACTTAGCAGAAATTTTGGGTCCTTTTAAGCCTTTGGGTGAGTGTTTTTTGATCCATGTGCTTTTTTTTTTTTTAAATAGCAGCAATCCAACTTAATGAAGCACTGGGGAAAAAAAAATAGTCCTCTGCATTCCGTCTCAGAACTAACTGCAGGCAGCACACTCACATCTTGCTTAGGTATTAACTTTGGATTCAGATTTTTAAAAGGTGTCATGATTGTCAATATCATCTTCCTTAGATTAAGTATGGTCATTTCCACTTCGGAGATAATCAAGAAAATAATCAAGGAAAGACCAAAAGATTTATTTCTAAAGCTTGCTACAGTTTTATAGGGTCACATTATATCTGACTTTATCCCCAGTCCTGTTATTCTTGTGGAAGGTTGGTACACTAGGTAAGGAGTACTAAAAACTGTGTGTAGCTGTGCTACTCAAAGCATGCAACAAAATTTGGGTAAGCATGCTTGTTAAGAGTCAGTAGAAGCCTCTTGCATTTAAGAAAAAGATGCACAAAAACACTCAGACTTATTTCTGGCAATTGGATTCACTGGCACAACATAAATGGTATTTGATATTGTACCATAACAATGGTGAAACAAGAAGAGTCCTCTCGGATCAGGTCTTTCAAAAATGCGTGTTGGGTGATTAGACTCCCAAATCTCTTAATTGTAAGTTCTCAGCTACCAAACGCCTACTTCAAAAATATACTATGCTTCAATTTTTCTCTTTCCTTCATTAACATGATGAAATACTTATCTTTTTTTCTGATTTTCAACTCCCACCCCTTGCCAGTGCCCAGTGATTCCATGCCATTTTTCTTTAACCCGCACTCTAAAGTTTGGCTTTCTGGTAACAGGGAGCCAGTGATTGTCTTCTGCTCATCTTCTTTGATTAAAACTCCTGATGAGGAATGCCTGGTGTAACCATGGTGTCCCTTACCATGAAAACACATGCTGGACAGCAAGGGTCACTGCCTCCTTCCCTTTGCTTGTTGGCCCCATCTGGGCTGCACAGGTGAGGAGCACTTTCCAACAAAGCCGAGTCACACTCTGCCTTCACCACAAGTTAAACTGAAACATACATATTCAAATCCCAGTGCAATATCAGGTTTTCAGGAAGCGGTGCTGCCCCCAAAAGATTATCAATCTGTGTTTCCAAACAGTCTTGCATTTCATTATGGACGATGAAACCTGAAATAAGAAACAGAAACTCTGTGGATCTGTGGTCTAGCAGCACACTCTGCAATCAGTGAACTGAATAAGGTACGTCAATTTCACAATCGAATTACTGCTATACATTACTGTTACAACAGAATACTCTTGTAAATATTATGTTGGAAAGCAGAGATAGCCCCTGTACAAAAGGTGCTGGTTACATCATTCTGGTAATAGAGCAATCAATACACAAAACATCACTATTCTGGAGGGTTATGATCTGGCCCATTTTAAGCAGAGTGGGATGTTTCATAAAGGATTTGGTTATACCTGGTTGATAGTTATAAAATAAAAACATCAACAAATAGTCTCTATTTCATTAGCTTCAGCCTCTCATCACCTACTGATCACTCCAAATCTACTTTCTACACCTGAATTTCCAAACACCTTCTGGGCATTTCCATGCAGATGTTCCACAGGCAAAATACTGAGTATGTCTACAACTTTTCTTGCAAACCTACACTGTGCTTTCTATCTTGTAAAATATTGTTAATCTACATTTTGGTCAAAGATTCTATAGAAGAATCCTGATCCAAAGGGGGAAAATGTGGAATACCATATTCTCATGGAACCCAGACTTTCTGGAGCCACTGAGGCTAGATGAAACCCCGAAACTGTTGCCCTGAGATAATCTCTAAACTTTAAACAAAAAATATTCTCTGAAGTCTTCTTTAAGCTAACAATAAGTTGGCTTATTTAGTAAAGAATGTTTGTGTTGAAAATTGTGCTCTTTTGAAGAACTGTCTATACTGGATCAAATTGACAAAAGTAATTTGAAAGGTAAGATAGGAAGCTGAGAAGGCAGTGAGTTCATGTTAATGGGGGAAGAACAATTCTGAGCACTGCATGCGTTTTTGTCATTCTGTGCTTTTGAACATGGTACTACAATTCAATTCCCCCTTTTTCTTTTCCAACCATGTTTCATTTTCAAGAGCAAGGTCAAAAGCCATCTTTTCCATAAAGCTTTATCTGATCCATCTCTTCAACCTTCCTCTGGGATTCCATATTATACGCAACTCCGTTTGGCATTTCAGTCTGTCTTTTATAATTTATATGTTCACCTACCCTAGTAAACCAGTCTCCTAACTGGTTTCCCTGTCCCAGGCTCTCTCCATCAAATATTCTGCTCCACACTATCACTAGCATTATTATTATAAAATACGGTTCTGATTATTCCAGTCCTTTGCTAAAATCATTTTATGGTTCCCCATTCCCTACAGGATAAAATTTACATTTCTTAGAGTGGCAATCGAGGCCTTTCAGCCCAACACATGTACCCAGCTATATCTTCATCATTATTGCCCAATGCTCTAAATTCTAGTCATTTGCCCCCAAAATGCCATCCATTTTTATGCTCATGCTCTTTCTTCTACCCTTATCATTTCCTCCTTCTGCACCTTGTATAATCTCAGTGAGGCCTTCCCCACACTCCTTTCTTCCCACCTCTTCGAGGAAGCACTTTCTCTCTCTTCTGTGTTCTCATAACATTTTGTTTATACCAGTTATCATATTACATAATCTTTGTATAGGTGTACCTCTGCTATTAGATTGTGAGCAGCTGAGGAACAAATTATCCTTATTCACTTCTACATACTCACAAAACACAACATCTGGCACATGGTAGTACTTAATAAATGTTGCTGTGTTGAAGCATTAAAAAGGGAAGAGTTAAAAAACGTAAAAACAGTTGAAACAAGATTGGTCATTAGTTGATAACTGGGAAGCTGCATGATGGGTACATGGGGTACATTATATTACTTTTGTATGTTTGACTTTTCCAAATTAAAAGTAAAGTAACAATAAAATAGACCAAGCTTTCCAAAACTGGCAAACATGCCATGACTAAGGCAGAAACGTGTCTACTTTGAGTTTAATTCTTAACTCTGCCCCTAATCATCACTTTGGACAGGTATGTGAACTTCCATGCTCTACATTGTTAAACAGACACAATATTATTATGTTTTAGTCACTTGGGACCTTCTTTCTGTCCCTCGATCATACAAAAAATTTCCCACCTCAGGCTCTTTGAGCTAGCTCTTCCCTCTGCACTAGCTCACACTCTTTGGGAGTGGAAGGTTCTTCTCCCCAACAACGTACTGATGGTTCTTCTTGTATTTAAATCACAGAACAAATATGATTTCCTTAAGAGACCCCTTTCCTGGCCATCCTATCTATACTGATTCCCCATCATGATCCCTACCATACCATCCTGTTACATTTTCTTCATAGTACTTAGATGTTGTTGCTGGGTGCTGTAGGGTTGATTCCAACTCACAGTGACCCCATGTGACAGAGAACTGCCCCACAGGGTCTTCTTGGCTGCAATCTTTATGGGAGGAGATCACCACATCTTCTCTGGTGGAGCCACTGGGTGGGTTTGAACCACCAACCTTTTGGTTAGCAGCTGAGCACTTAACCGTTGTGCCACCAGGGCTCCTTACAGTGCATAGTACTATCTGATGTTATCATGTTTATCTACTTGTTTACTTGTTAATAGCTTGTCTTCCTCACTAGAACATAAACCATGTGAGAGAAGCACATTATCTGATTTCTTCTCCATTAATTTCCCATTGTCTACAACAGTCTGGATCACTATATGTGTTCAATAAATATTTGTTGAATGCATAAATAACTGAATACATACAAAGGATCACTTAGAAAATGATTTGATAACTCTTTCTATAAATAAATCTAAACAGAAGACTCCAATCATGTTGTTGTTGGGTGCTGTCAAGTTGGTTCCGACTCACAGAGACCCTACAGGACAGAGTAGTACTGCCCCATAGGGTTTCCAAGGAGCAGCTGGTGGATTTGAACTGCCGACCTTTTGGTTAGCACCTGAGCTCTTAACCACTACGCCACCAGGGCTCCACTCCAGTTATAAGACCCATAAAATTAATTACAATTAAATGTCTATTAATATACGATAACCCATCTGATACAACATTCCAAAATGCTTTGTAGGAAGAGTCAACCATAACCTGAAGGAAAAAAAATGAAAAATCTATAAAAATATTTCAAGAGAGTAACTGAAAATCTCTTAAATCAAACTTTTTATATAAAATGAGAAAGAGAGGCAGATATGATAATAACAACAGCTAACATTTATTAATGTTTACTATGTGCCCAGCACAAGTCCAAGTGATTACCTCACTTAATCCTCAAAACAATTCCATGAGGTAGGTACTCCTGTATCTTCTTTTTACAGATGTGGAAACTGAGGCACAGGGATGCTAAGTTATTTGCTCAAGGCAGACAACTGGTATAAGTATGCACTCCTAACCTACATTATCTAGATCAAAACTCATGTTTTCATTTATACTGTCATTCAAAGGGTTTTTTTTTTTTTGTAACTTCTGGGTAGAATGGAATGGAAGACATGATCGGCTGGATTTCTATATATATCAGTTTTGATCAGTTTTCACCCAAGAAAAATCCTGTTCCACATTCCCAGGCTATACTTTATTGCTCCAGTTGGCTTAAAAATATCTGCCATTTGCCACAAAGGGGACTGAATGAGAATGGGCTCAACACAAGTTTTTATGATTACTAGAAAAACAATGCCAGTGAGGTCCTGGGTTTGAAGCTGGCAGCATCATGTCCCTCTGCGCAGGACACACTAGCATTGTCCACATGCCCCCAGGGAGCCCTAACAACACAAGACAAATACATTGTACCTTCCGGGGCCTCACATCATGAGCTACCAAAGGCCCCTCTTTTGTAGGTTCTGTTCTTCTGGGATTTAAGTGAAAACCCATCCAATTTAGCAACCCTTGAGCCCTCTCCAAATTTCCCGGACACCAAACATTCCACAATGCCCTTCACATGCTACTCTCAGATGCCTATCATTTGGTCCTGGACTCAAAGGAGAAGGCTGGGGACATGAGAGGTTTTTACTTCCCATCAGCAATGTCTGTGGGATGAAGAAGGTAAATTAAAAACTAGGTTGGACAACACAGCCAGTAGTCAGTGGCCCAGAAAGGATTATCTAAAGCCCAGAATTTTCCTGGAAAGCATCTTACTTTTCACTTCCAAAAATTAGCAAGGGCATTATATGAATTTTTTTTCCATAGACACTATTTGCCCATGGATTGCATCAGAGACTGAGTGCCACAGTGTAGATTGTACTGGAAGGTCACAGGCCACCAGCACAGCTTTAAGGGATGGCTAAGAGAAGAAGGCAACCAACTAATATTGTGAATGCAATAATATGCTGACAAAGACTGGGGTCAGAAATGTAACCACTCTTCATATGGACTGCCCCGGTCTGGGGAAAGGGCATATATTTTCTTGCAAAAATAGCCAATCAAAAAATGACATTTATACCTGCTTAAATTAGGCATCTTATCTTTAAATTCGGCCCTAAAATCTTATGGTTAGAGGTAGAGAACATGCAAATTATCCTTACGTTTGTTGCTACCCGGTGGTTTGCATTCAGTTTTACCTCCTCAGAAGTTTGCCTATGTGACAGAATGACAGAAAGTTGATGGAGCAATAAATAGATTCAGTGTGCCCTAAGGATACTTAAGCTTTCCGTCCACCTCTTTTCAGAATTTTCCTCAGACTCAAATTTGAAGTTATCTATATTTCTCTCCTCTTTTAAAAATTACAATTTTTTTTTGTTTGTTATTTTCATACTGCTGAGAGGGAGTGGGTGGGGAGAGTCTATTTTTAAGTCACGGAATTCAGGTCAAGATAATTTTCTCCATAAAGATGGTTCCTCCACAATTTAATTTTTTAAAAATGTACTTATCTTCCTGAAAATCCATCCAGATAATATAAAATTACTCACAAATGCAAAATAATACTTTCCTGTATTCCCCTATTTGTTACATACATGAATCCTGAATAATTCATTTCCCTTTTATTTAAAAGCATTTAATTGTCACATCACATGCACTTGTGTTAAACAGGTGAAGAAGCTCTGTGTGGCTGCCAGCAATCTCCTAGACACTGCTCCCTGTTCTATCTGAGAG